TATTTTACAACATTTTTGGTTATCATTACCTATTCCTATGTCTACAATGAAATCACCAAACATCAGAATTTATGTTGATTTAATTTGGAGGGTCTTAATCTATTTTGAACAGGTTCTTCTCTGTCCCTTCTGAAGTAAGATGCCTAAGTTGCAATTATTTTCATATTAGATTGTTTGCAAATATTTATCATGACTATTTCAATAAGATGACCAAATATAACTTCCTTCCTGGAACTTATAATAAAATCAATGCTGCCAATTCCTTTATTTGCCTCTCCAAAGAGAACCTGGGAACCATTCTTCATTTAGTTGTAACTTGTCTTCTTCTTCTTCTTTTTTTTAATTAAACAGTGAGAATGGCAAGATTAACAGTTCTTCCAAAATTAAGTCGGATCAATGGTCAATGGGTAAGGATTTCATATTTAGAGTACCAACACCTAGAATAATATTTACAGATAGTCTAAAAACTGTGATTCTTACTACTTCCTGCTCCCTCTTCTCTTGGTCACTGCAGAAATGGAATAGGGTGGGGTTTAGGGTATAAGATTGACGGCCATTTTTGCATTTTTCTGTTTCAGAGGTTGCAATGGCAAAAAGAATTTATCTCTAAGTGGCCTGTCTGCCTCTCTGTACTTACTTAGGATGGACCTCAGAAAGCAAACACAGTTTGTTTCTAGGAGAGGAGAGTAAAATCTGTCAGAGCTAGTACTTTGCTGGCATAGCCTTTGAGAACCTTTTAAATAAAAGCAAAAACAATCTTCTTATGTAGTGACACAAAGCATTCTAAAAGACAGTCCCTTGGTGAGGAGGATTTCATACCATAAACTATATTACCAGATCTGTAAAAAAAAAGAACACGGATTAAATTTCATTCCATATTATCTTTTCTTCTTAAAATAGTGATATAAACTGTTCCCTGAAAATAAGAGTAATTATATGACCTAACTTAAGAGTTACTGAATATTAGAGCAGAAAGGTAACCTGGATGATGTCTTTTTCAAACTTTTCATTTGAAATATGAGGAATTTGAAGTCCAGAAAGGCAGTGACTTGCCTAAGGCCATACAGTTAAGTCAGAGGCAGAGTTGGAACTGAAATTCAGGTCCTCTGAAATCCAGGTCCTCTGAAATCCAGGTCCTCTTACTTTCCATTACATAACATAAACTGTTGGCATGTTCATTGATTAAACTAATAACTCCAATATGAATGATTAACTTCAATTTTCATTATTCTAAACTTCTTTATTGGAATAATTTATTTTGCTGAAATCTTGCATGCTCAGAATGAGATGCCCAGTGTCATTCAGTATTTCCATGCTGAATTTAGACAACTACTGAGCTATAGGAACATGTTATTTTACAAATGCTGAAACCACTATCAAAGCAACACGAAAATCAGGTCACACAAGGTTATTGTATGTGTCCCACAAATCCTTATAGCATTCACTAGCTGGTGTGGTAACCTGGTAAATGTGACTACAAAAATAAATTAGTCATAATTTTCACTTTCATGCTTAATAAAAAGTGATGCTTATCAAACTAGAGGGTGGAAGAGAGTTTACTAAATGAACTGGCTGGTACAATACTAGTACTGAGCAATTACTTGGTATACAAGCAACCTGATGTTGACTGACATGATTAAAATAAGAAGATTTTCATATGGTCAATCTCATATATCTTTTGTAGCAATTTCGCATTTTGTCTCTCTAGATAGTCCAATTATAGTAGGAAAGTAAAAATCACATTCTATTTCTGTAGTACTTTAATTCCTTATGCCTCCCCACCTCCAAAGCAATTTCTAGCACCTATTTTATTTTGTCCTCAACAACCCTATGAGGTAGATATCATCCTGTTTTATACATGAGGCAGTTAAGGCACCAAGAACAAAGGATTTGACAATTAGATGGGACCTCAGTCCAACACCCTCATTTTACAGTTGAGGATACTGAGATATTAAGAAAATTAAATGACTTGTCCAAAGTCACATATTTAGATAGTAACAGAGTTGCAACTAGAATCCAGGTCTCCGAACCAGTAGGTCAGCACTCATATAGCATTTCATATGCCATATGAAATCAGGTCTCACTGTTCATAGGTTTTTAAGACTTAGAGCTGGAAAGAACCTCAGAGATCATCTGGTAAAACCACCTCTTTTTGTAGATAAGGGAAATGAAACCAAAAGCAGCTAAAAGATGCAACAAGTCACCCAGGCAATAAGCAAGTCAAGCTGGTATTCAAACAGGGCTTTGGACATCCTACCTGGTCAGTGGTCTTTCTTTCTTTTTTTTTTTTTTTAAGGCAATTGGGTTTAAGTGACTTGCCCAGGGTCACATAGCTAGTAAGTATCAAGTGTTTGGTCTGAGGTCGGATTAGCTGCCCCTAAGTGGTCTTTCTACTACAGCATGCTGCTTCCATCTCCAACAATTTTAAGGCCAAAAAATCATTTAATTGCAGCAATTATGTACAAAATTTAAGATGAGGCTGTGAACAAAACCTTTGTATCTTAAAAATGGTAGAAATTTAGGAAAGGAGAAGGTGACTTTTCTATAAAGAAGGATCACTAATGAAAAAAAAATCTGTCTTATGTAGTATTGGTCCTCTAATGCAAGGAGATCTGACTGTGTACTTAACTGGTTTTGTCCAATAATGGAAATCTGGTGAGTCTGGGACCTGAAAAAAGATACTGAGTTTATAATCTACCATAATCCTAACACTCTTCAGCTGTTCTTCTGAGTCACAGCAACTACACAACTACAGAAAAGACAGTCCATTCCTCCATTCCTCTTGCACCCAGTGAATAGCAAGACTCATGTCATTAGGGTCCCATTCTGCTATGGATTTAGGGGTGGTCTGTAGAAACCAGTAGCACCAATGCATAGATAGCATGTTTCAATTTGCAAAGTGAGGTTACATATTATGGTGCAAGTCACTTTACCTAGCTGGGTCTTAGTTTTCTCATTTGTAGAGACTAAATAATCTTTGAGGTTCTATCTAGCTGTAACATTACATGACTTTATTTCATTTGATCTTTATAACAACATAGTGAGGTGGGGATGGAAAGAGGCATTATTATCCCAATTTTAGAGATGAGGAAATAGGCTTGTGAGTTGAGGTGACTATCTCCTGGGGAATTTTATTAGAATGTAGGTCTCATGACTCCAAGTTCAGGACTCTTCCTGTTATACTTCTATTATGGCTCTATTATGATTTAAATTTTTATTTAAATGTATTTGCACTGTGGTTTTTGTTTCCTTCAGGTATAGAGTTAAAATTTCCTATATTTCTGATTTTTCAAAAAAAAATGTAAGGGAAATTTCTCTCTTTGTTCTAAAGTACACAGGTTTTCTGTAATAAGTTTCAGAAACATTCACTGGGAAGTAAAATCAAGATACATTAAAAGAGGAAAAACATATTAGACTCAGAGTTTTAAAAACATTTAAAAGGAATTCTTGACAGTATGTGCAATAATGGTTTTAGCACTGGCAGAAATACCTACATTACATGAGCCTAACATAAATAGTACACACAAAAACAGTATTTTAGAGGAGGCTACATTTCCTCATGCTACTTTTCTCAATACTATAGGAGGAAGTTTATAGATATCAAAGTGACTGTGAATCTCCCTGCTAATGATCAAAATGAAATCAACTCAAGAAAAACTCCCAAAGAAGCCTTTATGATTTCATTCAATTTTCACAAGAAATTATGTAAGTTGGCCACAAAGAAGAATGTCCCAATGTGTGCTGGGAAGTTCCTGAATGATGACTGTGGAATTCTTTCTAACAGAAAATAGAAGTGAGTCTATAAAAGTAGTTTAGATTCTCATCTGCATGGGACAGCTTAAATGTTATTCTACTTTTAAGATGTGAAGAATGATTATCTTTTTTCATGTCCTCTCTAGTATTATGACACTGTAAGAACTGAAAACTAAATTAAGCTAAAATTCTTTCATGTCAATATGCAATAATCAGGAAATCACCTTAAAAGCATGGTTTAAGGCAAAATCTGAGCTGAGAAAATAAAAGAACAAAGTGAAAAAAACGGTTCTAAATGTGATGAATAAAGACCCATGGGAATATTTATATGAACAGATACAATGTGAAATAAGCAGAAGCAGGAAAAAAAAATACACAACTGTAACAGTAAGTGAAAAGAACTCCCCTTACACAATTGTAACTGAATGTTACAAAATTAAAATGAGCAAGCTTGCCCCCAAGGAAGAGCTATGATGGGGAGATGGGGAGGTGAACTAGGGGTATATAACTCTGTAGAGAATGGCAGACTTTTTGACATGTGGGTGATTTTTGTGTACCAACCCCCCTTTACCCTACCTCACCTTTCTGTTCTTTGTTACAGGGGATGGACAGTCAGGAGAGGATGTAGGTAAGGATATATTGGGATATATTTTAGATGTAAAAACAAAATATATCAATAGAATTTTATTAAAGAAAAAAAAAGAAAAAATGCTCCTTATCTGGTCAGGGTTTACAAGATGAAGGGTCTATGTGTTTTATATGCACATGTATAGTTACACACATTATGTGTATATACACGTCACAGGTACATTACATACATATACATTCACATACATGTGTATTATATATACATATATTTAAAATCCTTCATGTGCATCTTATTCTGATGACATATCCATATGCACATGCATATTATATACATACACACATGTATTTATGGCCATATAGATTCTATGTATATAAAATTGAAAAGCCTTTCCTCTATCTCTTACTCAGATGCCTTAATATAGTATGGAACTGATAAGGACTATCAAAGGATGGTGCCACAACCTTCTGTATATATCATATAAGGAGCCTAACTAACCCTGCTGAAGCTGGCCACTAAAAGGCTGGCTACTTGGCGATGAATGTTTTGACCACAGAAACTCATAAAAACCATACATAAAGGTGTGGACGGAATGGTTGCAATCTGTCATAATGGATAGCGTATTCACACTGATGAAATCACGAATCTGAAAGTAATGAAGTAAAAATAACGCACCTTTTTATTCATTTCAACAATTCATTTATAGTTTCAAGGACTATATTTCCGATATTCAGAATGAAGCAAATATAGACAAGACCAGACGAATAAGAATTAAAGGACATCTCTTCCCTTTCAGAAAAGATTGTGGACAAGGCTATTCTACTCTCTCAGGAACAGTCCTTTCTCAGGAACAGAGGAGAGAGAAAAGACTCTTATGTGTTCTTCTCACCTGAAGCTGCTGTAGCATTTGTAGGGGTTGAAGCAGCTGCTTGAATCCGAGCATGGGGAGGGATAAGGATTGTAGCCAGAGGTGGATTACTTGACAGTTCTAAGGGAAAGTAAAACAGAACAGTTAGATTTCACTTATAACTCTGAATGTCAAATAACAAGATAATAGCTTTTGTAGAGAGAAGTTCTAGAGTGCTTCCAACTAAGGCCGATTAAAAGAGGATATAACATCCCGTTAAAGGCAGCACCCACTTGTCAACCTGTAAAGAATGTGCTCTGTTTTCAAAGAGTACACATTCTACATGTGGGCTTTATAGATATTAAAAAATTAGATTGGAGGGTAAGGGTACAGATGAATTGATGGCTGTGGTGGAAGGAATGGAAAAAATTTTGACATGCACCAATGTCCCTGGCAAGATGCATTATGGACCTGAAAAGTTTAGGAAAGTGTCCTATCTGAAATTAAGATAAAGTATTTCCTAGTAGCATGATTTTGTATCAGATCATGTTATCCCTGAAAAACATGGAAATAAACTTAGGAAATATCCAATGCCATTTTTCTATAGATAGCCCATTTAAACTGACATTTTACTTTTAGAAAAGGTGGAGGATCATTCGCAGTTGGGGGAAAAAATAGGATAATGAAGGAGGAAACATGGTGGTATGCATAAAGCAGGCACTGGACTTGGGAGTCAGGGAGATCTGGGTTCAAATACTACCTCAGACATTTACTAGTTTGTGACCCTGGGCAAGTCACTTAACCTCTCTATGCCTTAGTTTCTTCATCTGTATGATAAAAGAATTGGATTGAGTGGACTCTGAGGTCTCTTCTAGCTCTAAATCTATGATCCTATGACCACTTTTTACACTAAGAAATACACTTTCACAATTTAAACTCTACTACCTCAGGAAGACACTGTCTCTTCTTCTTTGTCTTTCCTTTCCTCCTTTCTGGAAAGTCTACTTAAGCAAACAGTAAAGCCCCTTTCAAATACATGAGTAGACAGTGTCATGGTGGTAGAAAACTGAAGGCTTCTGTCCAGAGGTAAGACCTTTGTGCATTTTTAAAGTTAACACCTCACTGGATGTTAGTAAAGAGAGAAACGTTTTTAATTGAAAATTTTCTATGATCTCGAGTCCCATATTTAAAAGCAAATCTGAATATTAAGTGAAAACCTAAAATTTTCATCAAGAAGTCACTGACCCACCGATAGGGAAAATTTGAGGAAAACATAAAAGAAAATAGGGTGCTTTTTCAACTTTTCTTTCTTAAATTGCCCTGTCCCCTTTTTACTGTTAGCTACCTCATCATGTTTTGTTTTAGGTTACAATTTTCCTTCCACTGTTGGTTCTCCCTATCCCTCAAGATCACTCAGTTCCTGGCCAATTAAAAACCTTCCTGCCAGGACTGTGCCAGATGTTCACTGGGTCTCTGGAGCTCTGACTGTCTCCTGTGATCTGAATATGGAAGCACCAGCACACGTGGAATCATCAATGATGGTTGCCATCCAATACGCTATTATGTATTATTCATTATATAATGAAGAAGGAAACATGGTGGTATGGATATGGTCATCAAAATAAAGTTTCTATAATGAAAAAGATTGATTATATCATACTTACGTCTGTTTCACTAGTAATAATAACATTTCTCTTCTCAACAACAATGTTATAAAGGAGTTTAGCATAATGTACCGGAATGATCAATGTACACAGAATCAGGAAGGACATAGCTTCATAATCTTGACTCCTATATTTATCAGCTGTATGATCCTGTCATTGTTTTTAGCCTCAGTTTCCAAATCTGTAAAATGGAAATGCTAATACTTGCAGTCCCTAAATTCATAAGGCTGTTGTTGGTAAAGTGATTTGTAGGCCTCAAAGTGCCACAGAAATGTGAATTATTCCAGAAATCAATTTTCTAAGAGGACTATGGTTGAGTGACCCAAATTTGGCCACCTGGTTATCTTTACAAGCACCAGTTCTACGTTCTCTTCCATCCTCTTTGTAGCTTTCTGCCTATAAGTCTCTTATCCTGGTCACAGACTAAGCTACTCATATACTTAATTGTATAAAACTTTAGTGTACAATCAAAACAAAAGCAAAAGTAAATTTTAAAAGACAATTCAATGCTTAAACTAAATGGCAAATTCTATTCCTTTGAACAACTTCAGTGCCATCTTGTTTCTATTAAAAACATAAATGCAACATGATCTTCTGAAAAGCTTTGCTGAATAAACTAGGTTCCTAAACAAACTCAGGAGACAAATAATATTGTAAAATATTGTAATATACTGTAAAAGAAAAGTAAAATGCTTGGTAAAGACTCTACATTTGCACCGCTGAAATCTTTCTATTCTTGAGCACAAAATTTTATTTTAAAGCTCCTAATTTTTTTTAAACTAAGAATGTCATGTCCTTCATTAGAAACAGAAAAAAACATAGATCTGGTTTTATGTATGTCTACACCAGCCTTCCCATCCCCGGACTCTACCCCATAAGTATGAATGTATTTGTCAGTGTGTTTTAGAGTTATCAAGAGAGCTGGAATTGTACTTAAGAATTCCAGAAGGTCAGAGGTGAAACATGGGGGAAAAATGTGCCCCGCCTTTTGTAAAAAATTGGTTTATTCTGAATACAAAGTAAGGTCAACAGGTACTGAGAGAGGTTCATCACCTTCTCTTAAGATGGCAGAATTAAGGAGTGCTCATTAAAGACTGGCCAGAGAAGGGTGCTCACCTTCACATTAATTGTTGAAAGTTTTTGAGGAGTTAGATTCAGATGGCTCATCCTCAGCTCCAGCACTTTCCTGAATGAGACCATTAGGGAACCAAATTATGTGGCTCTTTCCTTCCACATCACAAATTTTATGAAGCCCTTTATAAGTTTATCAAGTTTTTAAAAATGCTATTATTTAGAAATATAAACTTTTCTGTCCTTAATGACTAGATTTGGCAGCTTAATAATGGAGCTTATTATGCTTTCTTATGATATTCTTCTCTAATTAGATGTTACTTTTTCTTTCTTTTTTTTTTTTTTGGTGAGGCATTGTGGGACTTGCCCAGAGTCGCATAGCTAGTGAGTGTTCTGAATCTGATGGATTTGAACTCAGGTCCTCCTGACTCCAGGGTTGGTGCTCTAACCATTGGGCCACCTAGCTGCCCCTGAAGTTATTTTTTCTAACCAGAAATTTTGAGGGTGGTTTACGTTATTGTTCTTAAACTACTCAGTAATATCATTCTAGCCTAATTACACAAGATGCAAATTTGGGTTGGGGAATTTGGCTTAGAAGTCATAAATTATTCACCAGGTGCTGGATATACTCTTAGGGATGTTAAGGTTGGAAAATAGCCCAACTTTCTCATTTTATAGAAGAGGACACTAAGGCCCAGAAAGCTGAAGGGACATAGATGCCCAAGGTTACAGGTTAGTAAGCAGGATAGCTAGAATCTGAACCCAGATCCTCTGACTCCAAATCCAGCACTCTTCCCAATGCACTATGCTTAGCTTTTACATGCCCCAAAAGGAAATACAGACAACTGTTCATCAAAAGAAATAAATGTATACACTAGCTTATCAAGAAAAATTTAATTACATACTCACTATACTAAGGCAGAGATAACAGAGTGGATTTTATTAAGTTTTTCATCCCAAACAGTTAAAATTAAACAAAAAGTCAAGGTGTATAAGGGGTAAGCCTAATTATCTGAAAAATTTGCTCACCCTGACAACACCTGATGAGGTTCTCTTGTTAACCTCAATTTTGCTCTTTTATGCTATGGGGAATTAGTTTTAATGTTTCAAAATTTGGAGAACAAGTCTGCGTTCAATTCTATATTACAATTATGTTGGCTTCAATCAGATCTCACTTCAGACTTCGTGGTTTAATTTTGTTTACTCCATAATAATACTATAACCTTACATTTATATAATACTTCACAATTATTGGGTACCTAATTATAACCTTATTTGATCTTATAACTACTCTATGTGAAAAAGTACAAATATTACTAGTCTTAATTTACAGATGGAAAATCAGATTCAGAGAAGTTAAGCAATATATCCAATGTATCACAACTGGTAATTGATGGAGCCTGGACTGGAACTCAGAGCTTTTGAAAGGAAGCACAATGTTCTACTAGATTGTGCTATTTTTCTTCATGTAGCAGTCTGCTGAAATTATAGAATTTATCTGGAATGGACCTTAGTAACCATGTAACTTGCTCCTATTGTTTTTTAAAAATGAGAAGCTGAGAATGGGGAAAAAGTAAGTTGCTCAAGGTCAACACAACTTCAGTAGTTAATGCCATTATTAAGAATATGAAGGACTATTTCCTAACTCAGTTCAGTACTCTTTCCAATAAATTACCATAAGACCTCCCTTCATCCTCTTAATCCTCTACAATTCTATCAACTTCTATTAATTATCCTCTTCTATAGTTCTATTAACATGTTTACATGGTACACATGGTATTTCTAGAACTGAGTAATAATTTTTTAGTTCTTCCAACAAATACATTCCCTTATGAGGCACGTATTTTGCTGGTATACACACTGACTAGAGAAGTACAAGTTTGTGCTTTCAGGAAATCACCTATGACTACTCGTACGTCCTTTCCCTTCTCTGTAACCTCATATTAAATTTAAGAAAAATTTGGATTACCTTTCCTTTAAGTGTCTTAATTGCTTATATGAAAATTTTTTATTTTAGCTTTACATGTTCCTTCTCTTTCTGCAGTTCATCTCCATGCATTTGCTATTTACTACTTAGCACATTTCCTTAACCTTAAAAAGGTTTCATATTTTTTTGTGGATGAAAATCATTCTGTCAACTGCAAACTCTCCCATGCAGTATTCATTTGTGAAGTTCTTTAGTCAATACGCTTTAGTTTTTTCAACACTGCATATAAGCCATTTATCTCATTTCACTGGAACATCTTCAAAACTTCTGTATATATGTTACCTGGTATTAGGAATTTATTAGATTGTAATTCATAGGTTAATTCTAGAATGAATACCTTGTATGTTACAACTGTTTAGTACCTCTGAGCTCTCTGTCCCTCACAGGATAATACGAAAGCAGGAATCCCACAATGCTGA